GGAACTGTCGAGATCCCCCCCCCATCCCCCCTCCCGTTTTTTTTGTTTTTTTTTTTGAAGAGGAAACCTGGGCGCTGAGAACTGACACCACGGGTTCCCGTCAACATAGAAAGGCACACAGCATTCTCTTATATATTTCCTTTTCGGGGCCCAATTTGTATGGCCGCGTGTGAAATTACGTTACGAAGCAAACGTCGATTCGATGCTGTGTATCCAGGCGTACCGTCGAGAAAACATGACAGCGCACGGACCAACTAACACAACGTCTCGCCGGGCTTATCCAAGTGTAAGTCTACCTACTCACAGACGGGATTGTTAGCTACGGCGGAGTTGGTGTGCATATGGGTTGGTGTTAGTTGGGCGTGCACCACGAGGTACGTCAGTACGCGAGAGGCACGGGAACTAATTCGGCATGTGACCATGTGGTGTTTACATAAACAACCCGGAAGATCACTACTTACTATTATGTGGTTGTGTGGTGTGCGCGTTGGACGCGCAACCCCAAGGGAAAAAGGCACCACCGAACGGCATGTATTTGTGTGGTGTGCACGTTGGACACGCAATCCCAAAGGAAAAAGGCACCACCGGACGGCCATATGTGGCCTATGTATGAGGCACAAGCTACATGAGATACAAGACAGCACGTGACGGGCGCCCCGATATTCCCTAGTTGGGAGAGATACCTCCAACGCGGTCGCATGCGATGCGGGTGAGGTGAGGTAATATGTATATTATCCGCCATTACGGCAAAGGGATGACGTAATTGTAATTTATTTCGGGAGAGAGAAAGGGGACTGAACAAGGTAGAGTCATTTTCCAACATGCTTCATGGGATATCTGACTCTTCCCGATTTCGTTCCGAAATCCGGATTCGTCTCAAATCCGAGATTACCTCAATATTCTATGGATGTCCATGAAACGTTTGGTGACAATGTGCTAATCCATTACCGTAGATTGCTGTTTTCGCACCGCAGTCAGCGGGACATCCATGACTGTTGTGACGTGAACGCGGTTGGCAGCGAGGCCTTGCTGTATTCATTCGCGCGCGCCCGCGCGGTGGGCGCGAAGGTTGTTGTGTCTTCAAACCGACCGTTCCGGTCTCTCCTCAGTCCCGTTGAACTTCCTGAACGGTCCACGTAACGCGGACGCCTTCCCCGGTCACAAGCCAGCTTTCCCCCAAACGGTGCAAAACGCTTTTTGAAATCAAGACGTGATGCGCGAAAGAAGCTATTTGTTCATCAGACTGAAATACCCTCTGACGGCGCTACAAAACGTCGTTGATGAAGGAAAGGACGATGACGAGAGCTGGCGGTCACCGTGCGTAATCAAAGAGACAAGGGACTGATAGGCCAATGCTCTGGTGCATGCTGCGACGGTGGGGCGTTGGAGAGAACTAAACGTGATCTGGGCTTTCAGGTGCTCTCACGGAGCCATAGGACTAAGCGCTACAACACAACAAAAAGCAAAACAAAAAATAAACTTTGTGACGTCCCCCACCCTGCGACTGCTTTGCTTTCGCCGACAAAAGACAGCAGTGGCGTCCTACCCCCCTGTGTGGTGCGAATCCAAACAGTAGCGGGACCAAGCGCGACGGCTTTCAATCTAAGCCTTGGAAGGGACAACACGGCGTGCCGGGAGGGTTGAGAGGCAACCGCTCGTTGCGGTTGGTGAACAGAGAACTCAGATTCAAGAAACGTCGCTTCGCGCCTTTGTCACGCAATGTCAACAGGTGAGGGAGCGAGCTCTCAAGGACCACCACACCCCGTTCGGTACAGGGTCCACCCTCTGCGGCGCAGGCAACATTTACTGAGGCCCTTCGTGCGCGACGAGAGCGCACACGAGGGCACACATCCTTGGCGCCACCACATGGCCAGAGGCAAATCGTTCCTTCCTTTCAACACACAGCCGGCCACGCTTCTTCGAAGGTGGTGCCATCTCTCCGCTCGTTCTGTACCGTACCGACTCCTGTTGTTGTGGCTGGGCTGGGCCCTCAACCTATCTATGCAGACGTCCGTCACCACGACACGAGTGGAACGACTACCGAGATTCGTGCTGCTGCTGCTACTGCTGCTGCCCCCCGAGCATTGCATTCCAACCAACCCTCGCGTCTACCGTTTCCAAACCGCACAAAGAAAGTGCCGGACTATATCCTCGGACACAAACGCAGAGCTGACAGCAACCTACAGTACTATATCCTGTCATCCCGCATCAACTACTCCTTGGGAATCCTACATAGTTCGGTGCCACAATCGCTACCGGAAGAAGAGGAGCGTGCGGCGAAAGATACATACCACGGTACACGTTTTATCACAGGACCATGTATCAGCCACGTTTACGACCAACACCTGAAACGCTGCCTGGTTGTGACAAGGGGGGGTTCCTACGTACGTAGTTCGAAGGCATCCACCTGCGATCTCTAAAGAGGTGTGACTTAACCTCGAACACCCCACACCCCACACCAAGACGTTTGTCTAGCCTCTAGCTGCTCGACTCCGAGTTTGTCTAAGGATCCACGACCTGCTCTTTTGCAAGCACTACATAATCAACCAAAGAACTCCCATCCATGTGTTTTGCATCCGGGGGCATCGCACAATGCAATCCGCTCGTCGGTTCCTGTGGTTCCGGTTTGGCGTCTTCAGAGCGGGGCTTCTACTAATATACTGCTGTATTTGTATGTACACTCAATAGGTGAACCGCATGGGAAAGCGGAGGCCAGAACTCTAGTAACTGAACACGAAATCAGGCAGTCCATCGCGTGCCACCTACGCCAAAACAACACAAGAAATGTGACCACGAAACCCCGATATTTTTTCACGCAAGGAACATACTCATCAAATCACGAATAAGGTGAAATGCTACCGTGTCCCCCATCCCAATTTGTTATCCACTCAGTCGCCGGGATCAACAAGAAATACCGAATCCAAACACCGAAAAACTCTACATAGTACCAACGGCTAACACCAACAACAAGTAAAAGGACCCCAATTGGGCCGCATTGTCGTACTTCTACACACCTCGGGCACCCACCGCTCAACAGACAGCAGCAGCACCTATTATTTCCTCTTGCGCAACGCGAGCATCGGACACTCGAGCTCGGCGGGAGTCTTGCAACCCTTGGCGCAGCTTTCCTCGTCATCGCCGTCGTTCTCGACGCCCTCGTCTCCCAGATTTTTTCACCTTGGGCCGCTGTTGCAGGGCCACATCTTGTCCTTCGTGTTCTGCGGAAGCTGTCGCGGCTTCTGCTGGTACTGCTGCTGCTGCTGCCGCTGCTGGTAGCGATGCTGCTGCTCCAGCTCGTGCTTCTGCAGCAACGTCGGTGCCATCATCACTGCCAACACCAGCAGCATGCGCGATGAACGCTTCGGGAGCTCCCGCCGCGGTGGCTTCGGTACCCCCTCCAGGTGTCGAGTCCGCGTCACCCCCGTCGTCTTCGGCGGGGCTGCGGGAGTTATCATCGAGGACACCGCCGCCATCGGCGTCGTTCTCGCCCGATTCGCTTGTCCCTATCTCCGCCTCTTCTTTCTCCACTCCCGCTTTCTCTCCAGCGCTTTCCTCGTCCTCACCGACTGCAAGGATGCCGGCGGCGACCACAGCGGTAGCACCCGTGGCAGCGCCATCGCCGTCACTGCCACCGGCGTCATCACCATCGTCGGGAGTATCAGAAATGGCGGAAACAGCAGCAGTGGTGGCAGCACCGCTGTTGTTGACGCCGCTATTACTGGGGTCATCCCCATCACCGGGAGCAACAGAACCGGCGTCATCACCACCATCGGGATTAACAGCAATGGGTGCAGCATCAGCAGTGGCAGCAGCAGCAGTGGCAGCAGCAGCAGTGACAGCAGCAGCAGCAGCAGCAGCAGCAGCAGCAGCAGCGGCAGTGGCAGCACCAGCAGCAGCACCGCCGTTGATACCATCACCAGCACCATCACCGCCAACAGCATTGTCCTCAGAAGCAGGAGAAACAATGACAGCAGCAGCCGCAACACTTTCACCACCGGTACCGTCTCCAGCGGTAGCATCAGTGCTATCAACGCCGGATACCGCAGGCGCTCGAGCTGGAGCAGCAGCATCAGTAGCGGCAGCAGCAGCAGCAGCAGCAGCAGCAGCAGCACTGCCACTACTACCCGCAGCTTCGGCATGCACCGAAGACGAAAGGCTCGGGCGACGGCCACCTCCCGACGAAGACCGCGCGGCCACCGCCGGGGGCACATTGTGCGCCACGTTCTGTCGCACAGCTGTGTCCAGCATCTGCCGCGCCACCTGATCCACAACCAACGGGGAGTTCGTAAAGTGAAAACCGTAAGGATTGCGAGGGCCATGCGTTCACCGCTCACAGGCAGACCCCAGGTTACAGGATGGTAGCTCCGATTTTACTCCGAGAAACACAGGCTGGAAAACAAAAAAGAGCTGCGACGTGCACGCTCATTCGAAAGATGATGGCGCGACCGGAACTCTTGAAGTTCGAAGCGTAACCGCACACAACCACGCGCCGTGTAGTACAAGAGCTAAATACTAACGGGTAACACGCAGGTTGCGGTTCCGTCATTTCTGAGCCACACGTTAGCAGCCTTCCGCTCAAGCCAAGCGGGTTTGTCGTGTGGGCGTGTGTGACACCAACCAAGTGGTTCCCCTGCGATGAAAAAAATCAAGCAATCTATCGACTTCACCTCGCCAGCACTACCTGGACACGTGTTGAACGCGAAACCACGTCAAAAACGTATTCCCAATCCAACACACGTGACCCCCCTCCCCCCGCCCTACATCTCGATTTCCTATTCTGGGCGGTCGCATCAAAAGGTGCAGGGAACGTGCATAATAACAACATCATGGCAATCCGAAGTGCCGATCACAACAGCCGGTGGCCGACCCGCAGCTGTGCGCCGCAACACCCGCTGGAGAACGCATCCACGCTAAATCGATCACCTTCACTCCCCCATTGAAGGACATGAAGACCCCCTTTAGCTTCGAGAGCCCGGCGGTGGCCTGATTCTCCTCTCTGCCTAACGGTTCCGTGCCCGTGCCCAGCTCCGGCACCTGTTGCGGAAGGTGGCGCGGCACGAGGTCAGGTGGATAACGACCGCGATGAGAAGGACGGCGGGTTGGCACGGTACTCGAAAAACGAATGATGTGCGAAGAGTGCTCAAAGGAGAGGTCTCGCAGCTTGGGGGGGGAGGACAAATGGCATAGCCGACCAGTGTGGTACGTGTTCGGAATAACGCGTGGATTTAGCTCTTACATGTCGACAGAATGTACCTCGTGCAAGGGGGGGTCGAAAACTCCCGAGTCAGAAGGAAAGCATACTCAAAAGTCAACCACGAATACTCAACGACAACTTACACCTACCCCAAAAAGCTTTGGGGCTCGACACTCACACCCAAGAACAGACCGAAATCAGAGCGAGAAACAGATCCGAATGCATCATGCGCCACCGCTCCCAGCCCCTCACACGCTTCTACCTACAGGAAGCCTCGTCACACCACAAGACGCACACAAGCGCGGTTGTCGTGACAACCCGCGACAAGCCGCCTGTTGCCCTTACCGAGCACGTGCAGGTGCTGTTCTGGGGGCCTTCCACCGTGCCCCCGCACCTACGGCAGACCAACGCCTCCACGCTTCTTCGAGAGACCGCTCGTCCGCCAGCAGCAACCTCCCCGCCAACCTCGCTACTACCGCCCCAACTAGCCGCGGGTGGTCTTCCACCATCGAAGCCACAAACATCGGTAACGGTATCAGCGGGTAGCGGCCCGCCGCCGCCGCCGCCGCTAACTCCGTTGTCGTCGTCGTCGTCGTCGTCGTCGTCGTCTTCGTCAAGAACAAGGGAAGGGACGACCGTCTGACCATCTCTGGCGCCGCCGCTGCTTCCCATGGAAGAAATGACGCCCTCGAAGGCCCCGACAAACGCGGAATAGCCGCCACCGCCCCCGCCACCGCTCCCAGCTCCCGCAGCGGCGTCGACAGCAGCAGAGCCGGTAGCAGCAGCAGCGGACTCTCCGTCCCGGGCATCGGAGCCACAGCCGTCCCCGCTTCCTCCGGCAGTGGCCTCTCCAACGCCGGCCCCCGCGGACCCACCGCTGATGATGCTACTACCGCTGCCGCTTCTTCCGCCTCTCGCGCCTGCGCTATCGCCAGCCCCAACAGCAGTCGAGCTCCCACTTGCAGCCGTACCGGTGCCCACAGCAGGAGAAGCGGCTGCGGCGGCGGCGGCAGCGCGGGCCTCGGTGCTAGGCTTGGGCGCCCAGGGCCAGCTCGCCGCCGCGAATGTCTGAGTGATCTTCAGGCCCAAGTTGGAGGAGTGCGGCTCGAAGGTAGCAGCCGGGGCCTGAAAGGATTGGCAGTAAATTCAATCACGCAGCGGAGAGCGCATACTTGTAAACACCCACGCACATGTACGTCGCGGTGAGGAATTTACCAGATTACGATCACCACGCCCAACCAAAAAAATCACGGTCCTCGCCCCAAACCTAGGGGAAGCACGGAGGAGTCGCCCCTCCCATCCAACCAACCAACTCCACGCCCTCAGCTTCCACTCACCCGTGATTCGACGGGACCCCCGCCGCCGCTCTCTGTCGACGCTCGCCCCCGCGGCTTCTCGCTCGGGGGGACGAGCACATCCACGTCCCCGGTGGACAGGTTCCTGAACTGCATCATCAGTCCCGGCCCCGTCGCCGAGCCCTCCCGTGCCCCGTGCCAGCTGCCCGCGCTCCTCCTCCCTCCTCCCCCTCCTCTTCCTCCTCCTGCTCCCACGCTGCCGCCGCGACTTCGACGACCGGCCTCGATGGCGGTGCCATCGAGCCGCGCCTCCCGCCACTCTTCTCGCCTTCCCCCTCCTCCAACTCCTCCTCCTCTTCCCCCTGCTCGTCCTCCTCCGCCGCTGCCGCCGCCGCCGGCAAGCAGGCCTTCCACGAGGGGGGACACCGGAGCACCCGCTGCCGCCGCCGCCGCCGCCGCCCCGGCCGCCTCCTCCTCCCGCGCCTCCGGTCGCAATAACGAGGTGGCGGTGGCTGCTACACCAGCGCCGCCGCTGCCGCCGTCGGTGCTGGAATCTGAAACCGCCCTCTCCCCCGCAGCCCTCGCTGCTTCCACCGGTGCCGCCAATCCTACGGCCTTCCCCGAATCGCATGCGCCGTCTTCCGAGGGGGAGGGGGCGGCAGCAGCGGTACTACAACCGCCGTTGTTTGCAGCAGTGCCAGCAGCGCCAGCAGCGCCAGCAGCGTCCGCGGTTGCAGCAGACGTTGTTGCTGTTGCTGTTGTTGTTGCCGATGGCGGCGGCGGAGGGGCTTCCTCCGAGAACGAAGACGACGACGGCACCGGCGACGACGTCGTTGTCCGCAGGGACTGCTCCAGCGACTCGTACGCCCGCGCCAGGCGCCGGTTCACCGACGTCGCCTCCGCCAGGGAACGCCGGGACAGCTTCACCTCTCGCACCTTTCGCGGCGAGGCACGGCAGCGGGCAGCGCAACATGTAGGCAATGGTGTGCGTAAGGTGTGTGTGTTGGGGGGGGGGGGGGGGGGGGGGGGAAAACGGGAAAAACCCCTTTTTTGCTTTTTCCGGGTTTTGGGGGAAAAAAAAAGGGGCTTTTCGGGCCCTTTGGGGGCCCCCCCTTGGGGAAAAAACGGGGGATTTTGGAAAACCCTTTGGGAAAAAAAAATTGGTTAAAAAAAGGGGCAACGGAAAAAAAACGGGAAAGGGCCAAGGGCCCCCAATTTTCCAAAAAGGGGAATTTCCGGGGTTGGTTTCCGGTTCCTTTTTGCCCACCCCCCCCCAAAACTTTAACCCCGGGAAAAAAACGGCCCCCCCCAAAGCCCCAAAACCAAAAAAAAAACCCCCACCCCCTTATAAAAAATTAAGGGGAAAAGAAAAAAAAAACCCCCGGAGGGGGGCACCAACAAACCCCTTTTTT